GTATCTCTTCTAACCAAGATTTCTTACCAGAGCGTTATTTTATATTTGAGCTGATATGACCGAAGATGATTCCAGGTGTCTACTATTGAGTTTTCTCCAGTATGTGCTGACATTTTTGTTAGAAAGGTCTTCTTGTATTCTGTCTTTAAGTGTCTCTCTTCTTGGAACTTCTATATTTTTTTTTTACAGGGAATCAAAAAACTGAAAGCTTTTCCATTTTGTGTATTTTCACAGTTTCTATCCCATGTGAATCCTTACATACTTCAGAAATCATTGAGGAGAGCCGAAGGCATGTCTACATTCTCTGCATTCACCTTATTTCCTTTTCTGTTCCTAATACTAGTTTATTTTCTTGCTGAGACGTGATGTGAGCATTTAGGAATGAATGAACACGAAGGATTTCTCCATCTCCACACACCTGCCTTTCGTATGATTTTACTCTACAAGGGTTTTCTTAATAATAGGAACTAGAATCCAACTGAAGTTTTTGTCACATTGATTATCTTTATTATGTTCAAAGTATCTATGACCTGATGCCTTAGATTTTTCCTGGAATTTCTTTTTTTTAATATTTATTTATTATGTATACAATATTCTGTCTGTGTGTATGTCTGCAGGCCAGAAGAGGGCACCAGATCTCATTACAGATGGTTGTGAGCCACCATGTGGTTGCTGGGAATTGAACTCAGGACTTTTGGAAGAGCAGGCAGTGCTCTTAACCACTGAGCCACCTCTCCTCCAGCCCCTTTCCTGGAATTTCTGTAGTCATCTTTGAAGTTCTGGTCTTTCTGTTGTCACCAGGTTCCTGAAGGTTTCCTGTATCACATATCCATGGAGCTTATGTGGGGGAAAATCCTGCAAATCCCACTCCTCCACAGTGAAGTTCACAGCCACATCTTCACAGGTCACATACTTCATTTCTGCTTCCCAGTTCTCCTGTTCCCTTCACAATTGTTTCTGGGGTCAGTTGTCACAAAGTGACAGAAATTGGGTTACCTGAATCCTCTCTCAACTTGAATGCCCTTCCCGACTACTTTTTTCTTCTTTTCAGATACTTCCTTCTTCCTTTTCCTGCTGCCCAGGTTCTCACTAGTCTGGCCAGGCTAAACTTGAACTCTGTAGCCCAGGCATGCCTTGACCTTGGAATTTATTGCCTCCTACTTGCTCTCTACCCTATGTATGTATGTATGTATGTACGTATGTATATATGTATTCTTTTTGAGATAGTCTCTCTCGGTGTACCTGGACCTGAATATCTATTAAGATAAACTGACTGGCCAGTGAGTTCCAGGAATCTGCCTCTCTCCCCATTATCCTTTCTGGCATCCTAGCACTGGGATTACAAGTATGCTTACTGAGTGCTAGGGATACAGGCCCAGGTCCTTGTGATTGCAGGAGCAAGCACTTTACCAACGGAACCATTTAGCCAACCGCTATTTAAGGAATTATTAGTGAACGTCACAAGAGTTGGTGTTGGTGCTCTTGGCTACTGTAAGCCAAAGAGTGAGAACATAGACATTGTCTGGTATTGGAACACTTACAGATTAGGGAGGAGGGGGAAAAGGAGCAGCACAAATGGTTTTGAGAGCATAGTCTTTCCTGCTGCACAGGGCAGGGCCACAGGCAGGGAGACTTAGCCCTGGGCAGAGGACCCTCTGGTCGCCTTCTCAGTGTTGAGGACCCCGAGATGGCCAGTTACTTTTAAAGGTAGAGGACTGTAAAGAAGACAGTGCAAGCACCGGAGTGGGAGGAGTATGTCCAGGGAATTGACACGTGTTTCAGTTCACAGCAGCTTTAGAAGGGGTGTTTAGGCAGATCCCAGGGTGGAGACTGGAGGTGACCTCTCTGGGTTCCTGTACGTCCTAGAACCTGCCAATCTTAGAGTAGACTTTCTCTCCAGTCTCTCCCCCTTCATTCATGCTTCCTGTGGCATATGTATGCACTCCCTGTTGCTGTTGCCATGGTTCCGAAGGCAGGACTTATGTTTCTGTGCTGGAGTCTTTGCTGATACCACTTGATTTATTATCTTCCCTTTCATCCTACTCTCTCAGCCAAGTCTCTGAGTTTTCCATAGAAAAGTAGCTGGAAAGATCCCCTGATTTACAGATGCCAGTGACGCATCCTGCCGCGCAGTTGCTTCACCTTTTGCCCTGCCCTTCACCTTGGAAAAGGCCGTGCAGAGCCTTTTGCTGGAGAAGACCTTTCTTCTAGTTTTAGTGCTGGGGCTGCTGCCTTCTGGGCAAAAAGTCATCATTTAGGGATACAACCCTTTAGAGTTCAGATATTCAATTCACCCATGGGATTGCCTAGGTACCTTATCAACTTGGCATTTCTGCTTCTCTGATTTCATGGACACATTGATGTCCTTTATCAACATATTCATCCTTTATAATAACAATTCTTTCTCACTGTAGAAAATTCAGAAGACAGATATACAATACAGAAAGCTAATCTTATCCACAGTCCTATTGCTGAGAAGTTAATCTTTTATAATTAACTGCAATAATTTTCCTAAATATTTTCATTCATGAAGTGTATTTAACTAAAATGGGGATTATGTTCCATTATAACTTAAACACATTGCTTTAGAGCTCGGTTTTCTTTTTTTGAAAAGTAACTTTTTTTTCCACTATACACATTTTTGTTTTATAACTAAAACATAAAGTATTGAAAACTTTAGTAAAACAGAAGATCAAAACACAGTAAATCATGGTTCAAGGACAGCCATCAACGTGCAGTCTTGTGAAGGCAGTAGCTGAGATTTATACTTAATCATAACCAGCACCGGGAGGAATATTTTTACTGTAGTCTCTGCTCAGTGAGTGCTGTGAAATGAAATGTTTGCATTTTTGTTATGTGTATATGTATCAGTGTTCTCATAGCATTGTGTTGTAAGAGTTTTCTACATAATCTTTTCTATTTTACTATTCTGTTTTGAAAATAAATTTTATTACCTTAGGTCTGGTTAGTTCACTCAAGAAGAAATCATTTAGCTAGCTGGTAATAAACAGAGCTCTGATCTTTACAGGTTCAAAGAACTTTGCCTCATTCTGTAAGGTTTAACTAAATGCTATATATCACAGAATTTCTTTGGGTAACGTGATGGACCTGTTATTGATGCTCCATGTGTTGTTTTGATTGGCTCTCACTATATTTCCTATGTTTCTTCAAGGACTGTCCTGGATCATAGGCAATTCATAGCATCTAGGATTTTGGAAAGTATCTCAAGGTTAACTGATAAAGTATTAAAATCTGGATTCAGATTAAATTGTTACATTGGATTTTTAATTTGGATCATGTATGAGGTAGGGGGCTCGGAAGAATATAGAATTTAGAAATACACATTTAAGTGCCAAATTACCGAAATACTCTTGTAATTAAGAACACAATTATTTGACAGGAAGCAATGTGTTTGAAGGAAAGTTAGTTTTATTGAAATATTCATTAATCTCTAAGGCCAGCTACTAGTTTTGATGTTTCTTTCGCATGTCTGACATACCTGGAAAAACAGTCTTGTATTTGCTACTGAGAATTTTCTTTATAAATACCAGTGTATACAAATAATATAACTTTATACTGTCAACTTTTTTGCTGTAAAGAAGTTGTTTGAATAGCTATCCAGTTATGCACTAATTTTTCCGTTTCTGTAGAAGAGGGGATGGATTTAATACTCAAGTGAACTCCCCCCAGTCACTTTTGCCATTCCTACTTATTATCTAGTCCCTTCATTTCTCTGGGCACTTTTCCTAATTTTAAGAGGTTAGCACTTGAGACAGGAAAATAGATCCAGGGAAGGAAATGCTTAAACATCCCTTGTTCTCAGAATTCTCGTTTTTCTATTACACACTGCTTATAGAAACAGGAAAGAGGCGCTGGGGAAGATGTTTTGAAAAGAGCTGATAGCAGTTCGAGTCTCTCAGATATGAACATAAGATTGAAGACTAAAGAACAAATGTACATAACTAGAATCAACAATGTTAAGGAATGCCAACACGTTAAACCTAGTTTCTAATTAAGTGCTTAAGAAGAGTGTCTGTCTAATCAATTATAGGATTTCTGCAAGGATTTTAAGATCAGGCAAGTCTTCCAGTACTCTTGAAGCTGAAGCAGGAGAATTACAGCAAGTTCAAGACCAGCCAATCCACAATAGTGAGTTTGATGACAGATTGGGCTACAGAGTGAGACTCTGAAAAAAAAAGATATGAATTATAATGGCAAATACCACAACAAAATTGGTGATTAAGTAGTATGGCAGGTACTTTTATTATTCCCTGAAATGGTGTCTTCCTATATAACAGCTCAGGCTGGCTTGGGACTCATAATGTAGCCCAAGTAGCAATGGAGCTAGAGATGTTTATACCTCAGCCTTCTTGGAGCTGGAAATACAGGAACGCATCACTATATCTGTTTTCATCAAAACACTTTTAGACAGTTTCAAGGGAGTCATCAGCCAGAGTGTCATGGTGGCAATCAAGTCAGGTAGCTACAGTGACTTCATACTTGTTGGTATAGTAACAGAACTGATCTGACAGTACACAGGACATGTCTGTTCCTAGCCACAGGTGGAAAGGACACAAGAATAAATAGGCAAAGAAGTCTCGTGTATTTTGAGTTTCCCTATGGCAGGGCTTAAAACCATCTAACTTGGAGCGATTATTTTAGAGAATGAAGAAAATGAGCCTGGACAGGTAGAGTCCTAACATTTGGCCATAAAATTCTTTATGTTTTGGGTCCTAAGCAATGCATCAAATTAAGATTCTGATTTAGGGAACTTGAACTTGGGTTTCAGGCACACCTAGGATTCCTAGGATTCCTGTTTGACATGTTTGCTCCACTGCCTAGTGCCATCTACCTGCAGACTCTGAATCCATCAGAGCAGCTCTGACTGTTCTAATCCTAGACAAGGCTGCAGATTTGGGTATTGGCAAAGGGCTGAAAGTTAAGCACCCAAAAGATCAATCCTGAATGACGACAGGTTTTCCTCTCCTTCTGAAAACTATTTTCAGGAAAAGGAGAAGAGATGACAACGAGAAGGACCACCAAGATGACCCTCATTCAAAGAGGAATAAGAAGGACCAGGCCTTCCAGGACCCTCGCGCTATAGAGGTAGGAGCGATGACCACACAGCTTCTCCAGTTGACTCATTGCCCACTCTGTGGCATTCATTTCCATCTCCATGTTGGCAAGAGAACCCTCCAGACACACTCATGAAAGTCTTCTTTGTGGCTGCAATGCTATTGAGGCAGAGCAGGATTTTAAGTATTGTCATAACCATAGCTTTACTGCACAGCAGGACAGAGACAGGACCCACAGAGATGTTTTCCCAAGCCCAAAATGGAGGATGGGGTTCCAGAAATTCCCTCACCTTGCAAATAGGGAGGGAGAATTGAACCCCACCTTCTATGGTTAGGAAAGACATAAACTTGAAGAACAGAGTGGCGGGCTACTAGCTGCAATGCTCTTCTTGCTTTCTCCCCGAAAAAACAAAAAGCAAAGTGGGGTTGTGTGAAGGGACGTGGGAGAGCTTAGGGATGCTTATGCCGAAGAGCTGGCGTTTCAACTTCCACAGTCTTAACTTTAACA